AAAATGTTTGATACTATGATCTCCCCTATTCTAACACATAACAGCGAAATTTGGGGTGTGTATGCCAAACCAGATTTTAAGACCTGGGACGGCTCACAGGTCGAGAAGGCACACCTTCAATTTTGAAAACGATACTTAGAGATAAACAACAAAGCTTCTAATATAGCTTGTAGAGCAGAGCTTGGTCGTTTTCCTTTAAATATCACAATCAATCAAAAAATTCTCAAATACATTTTGTAGATACAGTCTAAAGAAGAGGAATCTCTTGTGAAACAAGCTTTTTTAATTTCATTCGACTTACACTGTAATGACAAAAATAGCTTCCACTCTCATTTAATGAATATGTCAGAATACTTTAAGCTTCCTGACTTTAACCCTAATTTATTAGATATAGCTATGGTAAAAAGCTATGTAAGTTCAATGAAACAAGAATATATCTCATATTGGCAAAACACCCTTCAACATTCTAAAAAACTTGAATTTTTAGATCTTTTAAAACCGATCATACCTCCTCTAGTCACTTAGACTTAACAAGAGGAACAGCTGGGAGAAGGGCTTTAGTAAAACTACGAATAAGTAAGCACAAATTACTGATAGAAATAGGCAGATACAATCCGAAACTACGAAGGATAATAGGCATTCCCCTTTCTGTGGATGCAATGTAATAGAAGACGAAGTTCACTTTCTTTTTCAATGTCCTACATACTCTATGATTAGGAATAAATTTTACTTTAAAGTCAGGACTCTGATTCCAAATATTACCCAGTTACCTATAAACGGTTTGATCAATGGACTGATGAACTCTTCTAATTACTTTATCAATATACAATTCATAAAAAATATTTCAGCTTGTTTTGATGTTCGTGACAAATTATTAATTGCATGTCCTGTGTTGTAATTTTGATTTCTAAAAATAGCTTTTGCAATACTATATGTGCTTGTATGGTCATGCAAATAAAGCTCGTTGTTGTTGTTGTTGTTGTTGTTGTTGTAAGTCACTGTAAGAGTTTTTTGTGGGGGGGAAAGGGGGGTAGCGTGGGTCTGTGGCTAATATTATTGAACATGGTTATTTCACAATTTATGAGAAATCATGCATTCTGGAAATAGAAAACTAAAAAATTAATAACTACGAGACAATTTGAACCTCTTTAAGATTTTAATGATTTAAAGTGACTTAAAGCGACTAAAGGCGACCTAAAGCGACTTTAGGCGACTTAAGGCGATTTTAGGCGACTTTAGGTGACTTAAGGTCCCAGAGTAGGCCTTCTGTTACAGGGAATTATCTTCAGAGACATCAACAGCACTCAGAACTAATAAAATAAATAGGTCCAACGATATCGTTTTAATCCAAGAACATAACCAAAATGCAACCTGAACATAAAACCAAAGAATATTTTACAAGGGACGAATATTTTAGCCGAAAACACAACTCTAAAGGATCATTTAAAGCTATTAAGAATAGGCCATTTGCACTAAGAGGTCATGTGACATAGTTATCATGAAAATGAAAGTTATATGATTTTGCCTTCGAAAAACGATTAGTGGGTCATATCTTCAACAAAATAATAGTGATTTAGTTTTTCAAACCCGCACCATTTTCTTAAAATGAGTAAGTTCCTCGCTGGTCACTTGACCAAAATGTTATTTTTACAATTATGAAAAGGTACTTCTTTCTGAACAAAAGCTTTCCACTTAAACTTCAAGGAGGATGTTGAAAAAATGATGTGGTAACGTTTACAGCAAATCTGAGCGTAACTATCAAACGTTTAACAAGATATAAGCAAAAAGTAGTTTTGGCCGCCATATGAAAGGGCAAGAGTATGCCCTCCAACATGGCGGCCAAAACAAATCATACTACTTTGTTGAAAAATCAAAGTGCCATAAAATATCTCCCTTAAATGCGTTTCCTCTCAAACTTCGGGTGTAAGCTAACTTTTATGAGCTCTGTTTATTTTTGGCATCAGCAAGATTCCAACTCATTGTTTAAAGGAAGAATCGGTCACGTGACCTCTTAGTGCAAGTGGCCTATTCTTAACTAAACATTATCTCATACATTTCAGAAGGCTTGATTGGCTATAACGGAATTGATCGTTGACAGCATTACAACTTTCAAAACAATACAGGTAGATAACAGTTCAACAAAAGACTATCGCAGGTAGTAATTACAGTTCAACGCTTATTACACTGGTTATGATCTTACAGCAAAATAGCGGTTGTTTGTTACGGTTAATGAGCTGGAATAGTAAACTGAAACTCAGAAATGCAAAACGAACTAAAACAAATATATCTACGTTGGATTTCTATATTTTATGTCAGCGAAAGCGAATATACAAAATAAAGTTAATGATGTGATTTTCTCCCCTCACAATCCAAACAATCAACTAATAAACACCGGAAATAATGCATCTGATTTTCTCGGAAAGCGGGTGTTTTCGAAGAATAATGACGCAATCAAATCGTTTTGAACTGACGTCTTCTTTCTAAGAAAACGAAGTCGCCATCGGCAAAGACAGAGGTCACATGTTTGCCATTCAAAGAATGAAAGAAAAAGAAAGGTTTTTCTTTCGGTTTTTGACTGATTTTAGTTAAACATGTAGAATTTGGAGCAGGATTATCCAACCCCAGATGGTTTGTTTGCGAAAGGTGTTTGCTTATCAGCCTTCTTAGCTATAATTGGCTGTCAATTAAACCTGCTTATTCTCTTTAACAATGCATGGCTAAGCAATTTGCACTATGAACTAGAAGTTTCGATAAATTCCAAGAAAACGAGGCTCTTTCCGGCATATTACCCGAGGGAATTTCCCAAAACATAATTCAAAGAGTATTTTTAAAACTCCAAGAAACTTTAAAATGAATCAGCATAATATATATATTTAGCGGAGCTCCAAAATTATTTTTTTCATTTATATCTAGTCTGCTTATCGTATGACCAATGGAACGAAAACAAGAGTCATTTTGAGTGTATTATCCCTTATCTCGACTTATCTTATTCACGTTTTATATTAGTTAAAATATAAAACCGGACCAGAAATCACAAAGACTTTCGGTCCGGTCTACCGGAAAAGAAAGTCACTATGCCAATCAATCAATCAATCAATCAACTTATTTACTTCAATCCTTGGGATGGGGTTGCCCCGATCATCCGAGCCAGAGGCTCATGTATAAAACGAATGACAATAAAAATACTTAGTTAATAAAGATACAATACATTTGAATAAAAATATTTTAAAAAGATCACAAATGTATGAAAACAAATAAGAATAATATATCCGTTGCTCAAAGCTACACCCTCCCGCATCCCACTGAATAAATTAAGAACACTAAAAACCGTAAGAATAAGTTTAAAGCCCCAACGAAAAAAAAAAACAGATATAGTAAAACCCCAAGATATACAAAATTTGATTCAAGATTGTAAGATTAAAAGATCTTAAGTGCTTACGATATTCACTCGACTCAGTCGATCTCTTAATGTAAGAAGGAAGTTGATTCCACAAATGCGAAGCCTTAACTTGTAAGTGAAGGAATTGTGATAATATCCATTATTATTCAATCAAAATATTTTCCCAATTCTGATTGACTAAAAGCACTCGTTTGATTTACCATTACCAGTTACTGATGACCAAATTTGGATAGTGCACGTTTAGGTTTGTCCAGCTCCGCAAATATTCTCCAAATAGCAGATGTCGCCCTTCGAGTTGTCTTCTTGCTGTTCTTGCCATGTTTTTAGCTATGTTTTCGTCTAGTTCTTACTCTTGAAACGAGTGAAATGTAAGCCATTTTTCAAGCTCACAATCAAAACAACTCAACCTCGTCCCCAGGTCTTCTCGGTTAACGGTGCCTTAACCTGCGAAAACGCTGCATTTTTGACGTCACTTCCTCGTTAAACACAAAATTTTTCCATCGATTTTTTTTGGTCGTCGACTTAAGGCTTCCTTTTCCGTGTTACCGTCTTTGGTTTAAGGCCGTCGGGTTTAGGCTTTGATGGATTTTTTTTGTTTGTCGACTTGACGCTTCTTTTTCCATGTTACTGTCTTTGGTCTACCCCCGTCAGGTTTAGGCTATAATGGATTTTTTTTTGGTCGTCGACTTAAGGCTTCTTTTTCTTTGTTACCGCGATTGGTTTAAGGCCGTCGGGTTTAGGCTTTGATGGATATTTTTGTTTGTTGGTAATTAAGGCTTCTTTTTCCATGTTACTCCTTTTGTTCAAGGCCGCCGGGTTTAGGCTTTGATTAATTTTTTTTTGTTGTTTGTCGACTTAAAGTTTAGGCTGAGATGGATTTTTGGTGGTTGTCGACTTAAGGTTTGTCTTTAAATGTTACTGCCTTTGGTTTAAAGCCGTTGGGTTTAGGCTTTCATGGATTTTTTTTGTTGTTGTTTCTTTCTCTCGCCCTCAACCGAATGGGCTATTGACTAAGCCCATTCGGGCTCGAGGAATAATTGTTAACTTTGCGGCAAGCATTGCATTTATTAGTGCTTCGGATATATTGCTTAATTTCTTTTATTGGTTTATTTTAATTTATGCCGTATAAGTAATCTATTACAGTAACTCTACTACCCAATATTACGTATAGCTAAAATAAAGTCAAGTGGTACGAAGTCTAAATTATTCACTGAAATCTTTAAAAGGTCAATTAAACTAACAAGGAACGTAATCCATTTACTTTTTACCTAGCTAAAAGTTTATGGTGACTTAAAAAGTTTGGGGTTCTTTCTTTTAATTAATAAGCGTTTTTTTGGTACACTGACTCTCGCGATTTCAGTTGATTTGTTGGGGAAAGTAGAATTTTTGCCATTCAAACAACACTGGGAGAAATAACTAGTAGGGGCTGATTAAGAGCCTGACTGGGCTGCTTTTCCGAGGTGACTTTAATGAAGCCAACCAGGAACCACCCCATCTCGTTTCCAGAGTCCACGGACTCTGGGACTCTGAGACTCTGGGAACGAGATTGGGATCCTCAATGTTTAAAGAGAGATTGGAAGCAGTGCGTATGAGCTGTGTGTTACCCGCGGTCCGGTTGCTGGTTTGGTTTTCCAGGCTTGCGAGAGTGATCATAAGAAAAATTTCCAGCCCGGTTATCAGAGTTCCTCGTCATCACACATTCACCATACCGAGTTCCGTTTAACCGGGCTGGCTTAGTTGTAATGTAATCAAGAAGCTGATTTTTCAGTGTTGCCTTAAAGTAACATGCCGACTCCTCGACAAATCGAACAAACCGCGCCGCTTCCGACAGGGCCTGCGCAACAGACGAATCTAAAGTCTGGTTAATTCCGTCTGCGAAATAGCGCCAAAATCCTTGTTCTGGGTTCCACCTGTGTACCAGGATTTGAATACGTGCCGGCAACGATTGACACCTCAAAATGCCATTGTAAATTTGCCTATCAGAATGAAAGAGCTAAATTCGAGACGAGTCCTTTCGGGACCCAGAACAACAGTATGGGCGCTGCTTCGTGGCTTCCAGTATAGGTCCCCTGACAAAGAAACTCCGAGGTAAGGACAGTGGTCTACAGCCTGTACGGTATGACCAGGCATAGTCTATGGGTGTATAAAAGGACACTTGGTTCTGCAAACGCGTACAACGTAACACTTCGATGGGTTGAAGGCCATTTGCCACAACTTTGCCCATTCAACTAATTTGTCCAGATCAGATTGGAGACTGATTGCATCGTCGGAATTGTGTACCAGACCATACAACAGGGAGTCGTCAGCAAATAACTTAATATTTGAGGTAATGTCATTACTTATATCGTTAACGAATAACAGCTCAGGCAAGGGACCCAACACGGTTCCTTCCGGGACTTCAGATCTCACGCAAGAGTTCTCACTGTACTCGCCTTCAAGGATCACCTCATTGAGTTCTTCCTATTAGCCATGCCTTTATCCAGGCTAAGACTAAACCACTACTGCCATAGTACTCTAATTTAGTAACAGACGTTTGTGTGCTACTCTATCGAAGGCTTTAGAAACGTCTAAGATCAAAAGTTCAGTCTGGTTTTTATCATTTACTGACGGGCTAGGTGCTCAACGGTATTGAAAAGATGCGTTTCCCATGAGCGCCCAGGGTGGAAAATGTGTTCTAACAGCTTGCATGGCGCTGACGTTTAAGAGACAGGCCTGTAATTGGCAGCCTCTGACGTTGAACCTTTCTTAAATATTGCTATAACATTGGCATGCTTCCATTCCGGTGGCACCTCACCAGTGTTGATGGATTGTTGGAAGATAAAACATAGGTAAGGAGCTATCTCTGTTGCCGCTTCCTTTAAGGCGCGCGTAGGTAGTAAGTCAGGGCCATTGGCTTTAGATGGATTCAGGCTGCTGAGCAATTTAATTACACAGTTGTTGTCAATTTTGCCCTTTTCCTCTCTTTTCCTTCTCAGGACTTTTCCAATAGAAAAGGAAAGGGGTCCCTTCAATTTTTGTAAGGGAAACGTTCTCTTGTAGACCCGGCTTGCTCAATCTTCTCAGTGTTTCTTTCATTTCTGATTTTCTTGCACCACCCTGCGATCAGGCTTTTTTTTTTGTCTCCCAAACTCTGCCTGATCGCAGGTTACTGCCCTCCTTCCTTCCCCCTCCCGGCAGGGTTTAGGCCCGTCCCGATTGTATTCGTAAAATGCCCCAGAGTTGCTCACTGCAATGGAAAGCCAAAAAGTTTCTAAAATGTTGACAAAAATCCGAAACCGCGTTTCTGGCGACAATACCCTGCTAAGCTAATTAATTATTCATACGAGAAAAAAAAATACAAGACGGTAATGTTGCAGGATAAATATTCTTTGCTCTATGAATTAGCAAAATGTGCATTGATTTTCCTTTATAACTTACCTTTAGCGTTTTCTTGTGTGTACTTATGTGCTGACTGCGTTTCAAGCCCCTTAAACACGTTTTAAAAATGCCTTTTTTATAGGCTGCGAAACGTTGTCAAGTAAAAAGGTTATGCCGTGTTTAAAAAGTTGATAAACATTCAAGAAATTCGCATAAATTGTAGTTTTGTATCAATTAAATCGTTAACTCTTCGTACCTTATATGTTTTCTAAACCCGCATTTTGTTCAAAAATTGTTCAGAAAAGTAAAAGTTGCTCAAGGTTGCTAGAACAGCAAAAAGTTGTACCAAACGCCAAAAGTTGCTCAAACGTTGCCAAACACAATCGAGACAGGCCTAGCAGCGTGGACAAACTGTTTTCAAGTTACCGTTCAGGAGAAACAAGCAAATGCCTTATTCAAATTTTGCTCGGCCCTGTGGGCAAATTAGGAAATGGAAGTCCCGTCTCCAAAACTACAACACTGATATAACTAGAAGTTACACATTGTAATAATAATGCTGCGAGCAGATGCTGGGTAGTAGGACAAATAAACGGAAGCAGTAAATGTGCATAGAGATTTTGATAATTTCATTAATTTATTTATTGGGTGAATTTAATAACTTTAATTCAATAACTTCTTTGCAATTGTGAATACCTAACGCAAATATTTTGAACGGTAACTAAATGAATATAATAGTTGGAGATTCAGTATTGTCTTCTTGCTGAAAATGGTTAAAAACACGTCTCTCAGCAATGCGTGATAATTTCTAAAAATAAAAAAATACAACATAATAATAATTATAATAATTTAGGTAAGGTGGATATCGTGAAGCTTATTATTAGTAGAGTCATACTGAATGTTTACATATGTACAGAACAATGTAATACATTTCAAATGTAAAGTAAACCAAAGACAATAATGAAAGGATATATTTTGAAATTATGAGCTCCTTGCAACAGCTCAACAACAAATAAATAAAACATAATTTTAAAGCGCTGATGCCGTGAATGGATACAGATACAATTTTTTGGCAATTTAACGTTAAGAATAACAGAAACATTAACAGTAACTTTGAACATCAAGGTAACTAAATGAAAATAATAGGCTGAGAGAGATGGTATTGTCTTCTTGCTGTAATTAATGGTTAAAAACACGTCCGGCTGACTCTAAGCAAGTAACAATGCTGAAAAACTCACAAAAGAAGTCACATTGTCTTCCCCGTATGTCACCACATCGTTTTCGGACGTTGGTGAATGGAATGCCCTAGCAACAAATAAGTTTGACACTCACCTTGACATCGAAGAAGGAAAGCGAGAGAAGGGAGCACGTGCTATGGACGACAAAAGACGCATCCAGAGCCACGACCAGGCGTAACTAAGTTATGATGAAACCGATGGAACATGGAATATGCAAAAGGAACACACTTACAGTAACACGTGCTATGGCGCATCTAAGTTATGATGACACCGCTGGACGTACGCCTGCTCAAAATCATCGTGACAAACAAAAATCGAGACTGCACTCACAAAAAAAAAAAGGCAGGAAACCCAACAAACCACAGGCCTACCAAAGATTAGTGTGCTGCTCGCCTGGGGGCTCGCAGCAAAAAGTGCCCCGATCCTGCGATGCAACTGAGTAGGTTCTTGCAAAAATAATAATCATCATCATCATCATCATCATCATCATCATCAGGTTTTTCATGGGAAACCGGGAACCCTGACAAACTTGAGTTTGCAGTTACGCGTTTGAAGTTTCCCGTTGAAAGCTTGCTTTTAGCAAGGCGTTTATTGTTTAGTGCCGCCATATTGCTTTTCATCAAATCGAAGTGCTTCACTTTTATCGCCCATAATTTATTGATTCGAGTTCAAAAATCTAATTACCACAGCAGGTGGATATAGAAATCTGCTTCGTACCTTTAAACGTGAGGCCGGTACAATGTTTAATGGCAAAATACCTTGTCGTGCGTCACTCAGCGCTGGAAGCCCTTCCTGTCGTTCAAACGAGAACTGCAAATTAACGCGACCGCAAGACTGTGGTCACGTGACACTGCTAGGTTTGCGGTTTGCGTAATGAAAAACCTAATACTAAAGGTCTCTAATCATGATAATACGTGAAATAGCCAGCCCTTTTTAGTTTTTAATTTCATGTCTTATTTCCAATTTCACGACACATAGGCGAACTGTTTGTTTTAAATCTTGCCCACGAGCATACATAATTTACGAAAAGGCAAAAGCTAAACTACCCTAAGAGCATCACAAGGTCTGAATTGGAAAACAAAACTATAAGCCAATAAGGTTTTTCAACATCTACAGTCTTCAGGACAATGCATGGTCAGGGGATACCATCCGCTTTGGAAATCTATAGAGGGATAATTATTACGCACTCCATGGAGAAAACGTGTTTCAGAAATGCATGTAGTCAATGTTGACGAAGAAAACTGCAAACAATCACATTATTGCCGCGGTCAGGTAAGTGGACGCTCTAGTCAAACTGCACTAACTATTAACTTTGCGCCTTTTCATCCGATTGAGATGGGGTTTTCACCAGAAATCATAGAATTTTATACAGAAAACTAATGTAAAATTTTTAGCATTTCTTTCCTGAATTTTCTTTCTGATGCCAAATTTGGACATCTTTTATGACGTCACAATAGAAGTCACATGGGATGAAATAAACACCAAAAAATAGGTAATTTATCAATTTACTTCCATGCCAAGTTTTGTTACATTCGATGCATTCTACTTCTCTCTATGGCCTTAAACTCTCAGTTTTGAGAGGTATGGGAGCAAAAGCCCTACCAACCGACCACCGTGACATCGTTTTCGGACGTTGATGAAAGGAATGCCCTAGCAACAAATAAGTTTGACACTCACCTTGACATCGAAGAAGCAAAGCGAGAGAAGGGAGCACGTGCTATGGACGACAAAAGACGCATCCAGATCCACGACCAGGCGTAACTAAGTTATGATGAAACCGATGGAACATGGAATATGCAAAAGGAAACACACTTACGGTAACACGTGCTATGGCGCATCTAAGTTATGATGACACCGCTGGATGTACGCCTGCTCAAAATCATCGTGACAAACAAAAATCGAGACTGCACTCACAAGATAATGCAGGAAACCCAAGAAACCACAGGCCAACCAAAGGTTAGTGTGCTGCTCGCCAGGGGGCTCGCAGCAAAAAGTGCCCCGATCCTGCGATGCAACTGAGTAGGTTCTTGCAAAAACAATAATCATCATCATAATCATAATCATCAGGTTTTTCATGGGAAACCGGGAACCCTGACAAACATGAGTTTGCAGTTACGCGTTTGAAGTTTCCCGTTGCAAGCTTGCTTTTAGCAAGGCGTTTATTGTTTAGTGCCGCCATGTTGCTTTTCGTCAAATCGAAGTGCTTCACTTTTATCGCCCATAATTTATTAATTCGAGTTCAAAAATCTAATTACCACACAGCAGGTGGATATAGAAATCTGCTTCGTCCCTTTAAACGTGAGGCCGGTACAATGTTTAATGGCAAAATACCTTGTCGTGCGTCACTCACCGCTGGAAGCCCTTCCTGTCGTTCAAACGTGAACTGCAAATTAACGCGACCGGAAGACTGTGGTCACGTGACACTGCCAGGTTTGCGGTTTGCGTAATGAAAAACCTAATACGAAAGGTCTCTAATCATGATAATACGTGTAATAGCCAGCCCTTTTTAGTTTTTAATTTCATGTCTTATTTTCCAATTTCAAGACGCATAGGCGAACTGTTTGTTTTAAATCTTGCCCACGAGCATACATAATTTACGAAAAGGCAAAAGCTAAACTACCCTAAGAGCATCACAAGGTCTGAATTGGAAAACAAAACGATAAGCCAGTAAGGTTTTTTCAACATCTACAGTCTTCAGGGCAATGGTCAGCGGATACCATCCGCTTTGGAAATCTATAGAGGGCTAATCATTATGCACTCCATGGAGAAAACGCGTTTCAGAAATGCATGTAGTCAATGTTGACGAAGAAAACTGCAAACAATCACATTATTGCCGCGGTCAGGTAAGTGGACGCTCTAGTCAAACTGCACTAACTAATTTACTAGGGGTAGACAATTAAATCATTCCAAGGTGTTCATAGAGTTATCCTAAAGTCATTGCCTTTATATACCTAAATTTTTCAAGGTGACTTTCTTATTATTTTCCACGGACTGCCAATGCAGAGGGCCGGGTGACTTCGAACCCTTCCACAAATTATAGAGACTAACAATACGGGAGAAAGCAACCTCTGTGTTTTATTTAACTGTTACACAGATCCCAGATAAAAACTATGTATAAAAAACAGACAAACAAACCGGTTTCAGTGTTGAATCGCAAGGTCGGCAAACTCATATTAATTGAAGCGCCGTGACACAGATTTTATATTAAATATAAACACTAAATGTTTCTTTAATTTAAAAACTTTAAAAGTATCTCAGTTTTCTTAATATTTTTACTAGTTAAAATTCATTTAGAAAACAACGCACTGAATTTAGCTACTGTAACAGTTGTTTGAATTGTATAATATGTAAAATACAAAGACTGAAGTCTATGCTCGAGCGTTTTCAACTAAATCTAATTTGAACACGGAAAACCAAGTAGTGAGCCAGTTTCAACTACATCCTTTGCTAAGCTTACAATGCCTACTGCTTTTCACTTTTTAAGTTCAGTTGAAGAACCTGTACAATTGCTTTGGAAACGTTTTCGAGACAATTAGTTTCTGTACGTTTTTGTGTAGTCATAAAAAGTAGTTATTTTTGTGTGTTGGTATAAACAACAGGTAAAGACTCTGCATTCGAGTTCCGTTTGAAAAACCTTTGGTCGCGATGGAAGGGTAATAAAAGTTTATATAGGCTATTTGATTACGAATGCTATTACGTTTCAAATAATGTTCCAATCGCATAAGCAGCAGCTAGGTTGTAAAGACGAAATGGAACACGATAAAGAAAAGAGTTTTGGCTAACCATTTAGAGTAAATAATTAATTACAACGATTATATATCGAAGCTGAGGTGAATAGCAAATGTTTAAGCCTTCAAGCTAGCCAATCAAAGTATTCACTTTCTTGGTAATTACTAATGCCAAGAGAGAACTCTTGCCAATGCCAATTATTAACCAATATTGTTACGGCTAATTCTAAGTTAATCCACCATCTGCTTTTGATGTTTATTCAGTATTAGATTTCTAATTCATTTTTCCATTTAGAAACCGCGAGGACGTGATCTAGAATTGAAATCTCTCGGCGTGAGAGAGTCAGTCTGTCTGCGTACTTGAAGATGATCATTAAAATTCACTCAGTCAACAAGCTCGGTTTAACGGCCCTCGACCCTTGGGCTGCTATTTCCCTGCCATTTTTTGCACCTCACGCATTTACCGTCAGGCATACTTTAGGGTGCTTCAGACTACGTTTACAAATATACCAGTTAGCTTTTCGTGTCGACAAGAAACTGCTATCCCGTATTAATAGTGTGAGCTGCAACGGCCCGGGGCGGAAAAGGTCGTTCACACACATCGAACATCGTGCCGGCGCGGTTAGCTGAGAGTGTTTGGTGCAAGAAAAAATTGCAGTCCCCACTCTACTTCCTTCTAAGTGGGTTCGAGCCCTCGCTCCTTCTTATTTACTTCAGCGACAGCCTAAACGGGTGTTCACATTGCACCAAAGTATGGCAAAAAACCTATCCGTTATGCGACGTTCCATTTTCGAGATCGGCGATGCGCAGCTTCACTCCGGCACAGAAATCTCGCCGAAATCACCAAATCCGGTACGATTTTCGTGGCGACGCAAAAGCTATCCGATACTGTACGAACATACAGCGACGGCTACGAGAACAGGCAAAAAGCAATAAGTTTCAAACGAAACAAAAACCCTGCACGTGCATCAAGCTTCTTTGTGCTTCTTTGTCTTCCTATTCGGTGAATAGAATCCACCTGCGGCCCTTATAAGCCTTTGGAATCAAGCCTTATACACCGTAAATCAGAAAGATCTGTTTTACCCCTAAAAATTGGGCCGTTTCGGTGAGTAAAATACAGTCCTATTTTTGAGTCTAATTTGGTTCCCCTAACCAGGGTCAATACATCAGTTCAATCAACTACAGCTGATCAGGACCCAAGGGCTGAAATGGGCCCCGTGTGGACTGGAATATAGCCTTTTGATGGGGCTGTTTTGGCTTAAATTTTGCTCAAATGGCTTCAGGAGGGGCTGAATAAGACTTTGGCCTGCAGGGCTGAATTGGCCCTTCCCGATTGAAACAGATCTTCTTAATTTTCAGTGTATCGAGGATGTAGGTACTCAGCATTAGCCCCCTACCTCACAATGGTTTGCAAGGTGCTCTTATGTACCAAACGCTCAAAGCAACTACGTTACAATTACTGGACAACCTCAGCAATGCCCTGTGATAACGTTTTTTCCCGGAATCTTCTCGTGAACATCACTAAATATTATATTTATTATGTTGTATTTCATTAAAGGTTTATAACAATTGCCTTTATTTCATTTTTGTCTTATTTTTAGGGTTAAAAACGCTCTTCTGCTCGTTCAGAATTTCTATCAGCAAATATCAACGATCCTAACCGAGGTTTGATCAATAAAAGGCAAATCCTAAGCAAGTATGGTTTCATAAGAAAACATTGTTTACCTAAATGATGTAGGTACTAACAGACAGTATATAAAAAGTCTGATTTAAGAAAAATTATCATATTATTCGGAGATCATTTCAGCCATCGTTAGAAGGAGAAACGGGTATTAAAATGTCAAGTTTTAAACATCTGTTAGCCTGGGACTATGCTTCTC